TGAATGTCATGGAGATATTGGGGGCAGAGGACTTAGAGCTCAGCAATAGAAGGGAGTGATTGGTCAGCTTCAAGACCAATGCAAGTCACCGCTGTTGATTCCCATAATCATATGAAACCCTTAAAGAGAGTCACTGAATGTTATTTTAAGTGGTAAAGAAGCATTTGAAAATTAAGTGGACTGATAAAGTACGAAATGAGCTGGTCTTAGACAGGATAGGCGAAGGAAAAATCTTACGAGAAGAAGAGATTCTGAGGCACCCAGGATTGGTTAATTTGGTAATGGAAGGGACGGTTGAAGGGAGGAATTGTAGGGGGAGACAAAGATTGGAATATGTGACGTAGATTTTTGAGGACGTGGGTTTCAAAAATTATGCGGAAATTAACAAATTGGCGCAAGACAGACGAAAATGGAGGACAGCATCAAACCAGTCGAAAGACTGATCACAAACAAACAAACAAACATAAATACCACTGGACCCTGAATGTGCAATTTCTATTGAATCTATGTCTACGTACATAAAACTGCTATGACATACCTGCATCCTGCACTGAGATCTTGGCGGAGGGTACCGGGGTGGCGTCTTGCTCCTGGCAATGAACGAGTCTGGAACATCGACTGCCATCTCACGGTGAGGCCCATTGTCCAGCGTCATCATCATGTTGTAGGCATCGTCCGCCTCCTCTTCCTCTGGGGTTCGGCGCTTGATGGGCTCAGAGTCCTGTGTGTCCACGACCACAATACTACTCCCGCTACGCCGTCGAGGCCTGCAGCAGTCAATTTAAGAGAAGAAAGTACGATAAAATGTAATGTACCCCGAACATTTAGATTCTCCAGAGTTGTTGTTACTTGAAAAGCTGTGGGCATTTCTGAAACAATATTTTGAGTAGCGAAGACGAGACTGTTAATTCTTTGCACTCCAAGGTCATCTAACGTAAACAAAATCTACGTAAGTAGCAAATGTTTGTTTTGGTAGTTTGGTTCCGTGGTTGGTTGGTTGATAATTCTGTAGTACTGATACAAAAAAAACAACACACAAACACAAAAGGACGCATATAAATGAAAATAATTAGTTTTTCGTGTAGTCACAATGGCAACAACATTTGCACAATAATAAATCGTACATTCGTTCACTTATGTAGAGATAAGTAATTATTTTAATATCTGTTCGCTGAATTCTTACACTTTTGGAGGACAGCGTGTTCTGATTTTCTAGTCATTTTCTAGCATATAATAATTCAGTTCTTGCCTCAAAGTAAACACTAACGCGTTCTCAAAACAAAGATCGATTACCTTATGATTATTTAGATACATTTCCACTAATTATTCTTAGAATCGTATGAGACTCATAAATACAGTCTGCGAGCAAAATTCCGAATGTTAAAACACTTTGTGTTACCATTGTGTCTTAAAGCGATAGGATTAAATACATTAACACTGGTTTGATAGAAAACACCACTTACCCAAAATATAGGGCAAATGCTGTTTCCTACCTGACCTCTTGTTTACCGCAGGAAGGCAAGGCACTGCATGTTGGATTCATGCCTGCTGATCACCAAACCTTAATCTGTCCACCTCGCGACTGATACTGACAGAAGATACTTTTATCATCACACCCATAGTCGGTGGGGACCCCTACGGGGACACCATGACGAATCAGATAACACAAAGGCCTTGATACTCTCACAAGATGTCGTAAGAGTTTCTACCGTCAATCACGTGCAGTGCACGAGGCCCATGCTCCAGCCAGCTTAACCCTCACATAAAGTAACCGAAATATCATTATATATTTAAGGCCTAAACTGTCACTCGCCTGTGCTATAATACCGAGGCACCGACAAACATATCGGTCCTAAGGCGAGAGTGTGTGGAGCCTTACCTCACTGCCCCACTCACATATTTATTCATTTCGCTTTTTTTTTATGTTTTAACACCTATGACCAAGCACCAAGTTGTTTTAGGGAAATAGTAAAGAAACCTAAGGACTCGGCACCCGATGGAAGTCAGTGGTTAGCTTCACGCTCCGGCTTATTTTACCCCAGAGGACAGAGTACAAGATACGCATTCTGTAGGGTTTTGGGTAGACCCCTGACAGAACAAAATATTTATTCGGTAAGCGGGAGGACAACTCCAGACATAAATTATCACCACATTTCTGCAGAGGGGATAGACGTCAGTCAATGAAGTGACTGGCTTCGGGTTGGACGAACGAAGTTCGATTCCCGGAAAGTCATGGATGTTTCTCAGGCTCAACTAGCCTTCTAGTCAATGAATAACGAAGATACTTCAATGGGGATAATACGGCTGGAGCTTTAGGCTGATTAATCGCTGCCATTCAGTGTTGGATTTAAGAAGCCTGGTCCAGAACCTGATCTCCAGGACAGTAAAAACGGACTGTGAAGACGGAACAGGCCTGAGACTAATCCGTGGAGGGCAGAAGCAATGTTTTTTATAGAACCATAAAACAGCTGATGCAGCGTCGTTAAACAAGCCTGTCAGATACAACTGAGGTTGACGGGGCCGCCTTATCAGTCTCGTATCTCTTAATTGCGAGACGTGTGGCATGCTTCGAGCGATAAGCGAATACTTCACCAGACGATAAGCTTTGTTTTGAACCCGAAGGCTTGCAACTACTTCAGGTTATCGCAGCGGCAAGTACGAATATTATTGCCTTTTCTGATATTTGTGGCTAATTCCAGGGCACAAAGTCATCCTTTAGCAGGTGGTCAGCTGAGACTTCATGTTCTAAAGGCGACGAGTACGAAAATTAC